CCCGCCACAACGCCTGGCCATTTTTTGTTTGCAGCCATCATTGTTGTTTGGCGGGCCCAGGCTGGAAATTCGAACCCACCACCTTAGGTGTATGTGGCTGGTGCCTTAGCCGCTTGAGCCACAGGCGCCAAGCCGAATTATTTTCTTATCTCTTCCCCTCACATACACATTTTTGTTTGTGACATCCTGTCACCCAAGCTGGAGTACCGTGGCATGACTGTAGTTCACTGCAGCTCTCAGCTCCTGGGCTCAGGCAATCCTCCTGCCTTAGCCTCCTGAGTAGTTAGGACTATAGGCACACATCATCATACCTAGCTAATAATTTTTTTTTTTTTTTTTGTAAAAACAAGGTCATATATTGCTCAGGTAGGTCTCAGACTCCTGTCCTCAAGCTTCCCTCCCACATCAGTTTCCCAGACTACTAGGATCATAGGAATGAGCTACTGTTCCTGGTCTTATTTCCATTTTTGGATTGTTTATTGCTAGTGTATAGAAATACAACTTAGCTGGGCATTGTGGCAGGCACCTGTAGTCCCAACTACTTGGGAGGCTGGGGCAAGGGAATTGCTTAAGACCAAAGAGTTTGGGTAGTGCCTGTGGCTCAGTGAATAGGGCACTGGCCCCATATACCGAGGGTGGTGGGTTCAAATCCAGCCCTGGCCAAAGTGCAACAAAAAATAGCCAGGTGGTGTGGCGGTCGTCTTTGGTCCTAGCTACTCAGAAGGCTGAGGCAAGAGAATCACCCTAAGCCTAAGAGCTGGAGGTTACTGTGAGCTGTAATGCCATGGCACTCTACTGAGGGCAACAAAGTGAGACTCTGTCTCTTAAAAAAAAATACCGAAGAGTTTGAAGTTGCCGTGAGCTATGATACCGTGGCACTCTACACAGGGTGACATAGTGAGTCTCTGTCTTAAAAAAAAAAAAAAAAGAAATATAACTGATTTTGATTTTTTTGTGTTGATTTTATATCCTGAAATTTTACTGAAATAGCTAATTAGCCTTAGTAGCTTTTGTGTGTTTGTGGATTTGTGAGTTATATATATATAAGATCATGCCATCTATAAATAGAGATGATTTTACTTCTTTACAGCCTTTTTTTTGTTTGTTTTTGAGATAAAGTCTCAGTATGTCACCCTTAGTAGAGTGCTGTTCCATCACAGCTCACAGCAACCTCAAACTCTTGGGCTTAAGTGATTCTCTTGCTTTGGCCTCCAGAGTAGCTGGGACTACATGCGCCCACCACAACACCTGGCTATTTTTTGTTGCAGTTGTTTAACTGGCCTGGGCTGGGTTTGAACGTGCCACCTTCGGTGTATGTGGCTGGCATCATAACCACTGTGCTATGGGTGCAGAGCCAGTATCGAGACTGTTAATTAAATTAATTTCATTCATTTATTTATTTGCCTAATTGCTCTGGTTGGAACTTTTAGCACAATGTTAAAAGTAGACATCCTGGGCACCATAGTTCAGTGGTTAGGGTGCTGGCCACATGCTCCTGGACTGGTGGATTTGAACCTGGGTCTGCTAAACAAACAAACAAAATAGCTGGCCCTCATAAGCAGGCGCCTGTAGTCTCAGCTACTAGGGAGGCAGAGACAAGAGAGTCTCTTGAGCCCAAGAGTTGGAGGTTGCTGTGAGCTATGATGCCACAGTACTCTCTATCAAGAGTGACAAAGTGAGACTGCGTCAAAAAAAAAAAAAAGCAGACATCCTTGTCTTATTTCTGATCTTAGGTGAGGGGTCTTCATAAAAGTCTTTTATCAAGTTCAAGAATTTTTTTTTTGAGACGGAGCCTCAAGCTATCCCCCTGGGTAGAGTGCCATGGCATCACGTTCACAGCAACCTCCAACTCCTGGGCTCAAG